CTCACACACACACACACACACACCTCACACACATGCACACATACCTCTCTCTCTCTCTCTCTCTCTCTCTCTCTCTCTCTCTCACACACACACACACACGCACACACACACACACACGTCAAAAGAGAGCAAACAAGCCTTATGTAGTCCGGTTGTGGAACACATTACAGGGACACAACTTCTGACAAGACACATGGTTGTAAAATATGAGAGAAATGCATCGAAGGTTTCACGGTCAAGCGTTGTGCATGAGCTGATCAGTCGACTTACACGCTGGGATGCTGAGTACCCATGACTACGGTTCCGGCCTTCGCATCAATCTTTGCATCCAGCTTCGCATTCCGGATAAGATTGAGGATCCACCTCTCTGCATCATCATCATTCATGTTGAGCCTCACAGAGAGCATCCTGGAGAACGAGGACAGCAGATCAACATCAACGGACAGAAAATATGCCAGAGTATCAAACACCATCATGTCTTCTGCAAGTCAATAACACGCAGGCAAAACATCCGGGTTAATTCGGACATATGCATAAAACATTATCGGCGCCAGAACCTTACATCCCCAAAAGAATGGCCCAACTTCCCACACTCCATTTCTCAAATCAATAAACTCATGCATCCACCACTATGTCTTGAAGATGAACAAGCAGCCAACGCAATACCATGCTACTCTGCAAAGATACTACAAATTTCCAGTCCCCCACGATCGCCAGTTGCTGTTTTTTGCCGTCCGCATGTCCCAAGTATTAAAAGAGGTCACTTCGATTTGACAAGTCGTCGAGGCGCAAAGCTCACAAACATACCTTATGTCAATGCACTGGTGGATTCGGCAGTACGTCTCGAATATGAACAACCGCGCATTCTCGATGAATTCATCGCTGAACGGACTGATGAAGTAATCCGTCGCTATGACCTGCCACCAGATCAAATGCAAACGTAAGTACACGAGCAAAACAGAAAAAACAAGTGGTAATAACAAATTGCAACAATCTACTTGATAGAAAAAGACACTAGTGGTTCCATGAACAATTCTCTCTGGAATTGAGTTTTCAACTTTTTCTTATAGTGAAAATGCCATAAATGAGAAAAAAAAAAAAAAAACTGCAATGCATAGTTTGTTCGCAAAATTTTCCACGACATTGCTTGTAGTGCTGCGGCGAAAAAACCCGAATTTTGGGCCTTCCATTAACCGCGTGTCCCCGAACAACGAGGTCCTTAAGACCCTCAACCTTGGTTGTTGGCCTCACAGGACGCTCAACCTTTATTTTGATTTTGTTGGCCTTACAGCAAAACCTCGAGTTCGGGCACAAAGCACCAAGAATACGTGCCCTGCAATACAAGACACTCGGCGCAGACAGCAATAACGCAGCCTCGGTACGTATCGAGCGCCCCGTTTGGAGGGCGGGGCTACTCGTTTGGGGGGGGGGGGGGGGGGGGGGGGGGGGGGGGGGGGGGGGGGGGGGGGGGGGGGGCAGGGGCGGGGGGGGTTAATCTCCAGGCCCATCCGTACCTCTTCACATTCGCGGAGTTTCTTCTGGGCCCCTTCAAAATCATAGTTCACATATAAGCACTCCAGGAACTCGGTGATTGGGTCGGCATAAGTGTAATGCTCCTGCTGAATCACTTTGATGAGATCCTTCAGCATGTTCCTTCGCCGCTTGTTTACGATAACTGCCGTTGCCAAGTAGCGCAGAAGATGTTGCGCATTTGTCTGGATGGCATTCATGTATCTGTGCAAAAACCAGTCCAGGGACAAGAATGCACGTAGAAAAGGAAAAGCAACACAGTCAGCTCAACAAACGCATTTGCATGCGCCAATATTCTGCACCGTGCAAATACTTCCCGCATGTACGAGGCACATCGACCAGCAACACATCGGGCAAAAAAGAAAACGCACTTCCACTCCCACCTGTAAGAAATGTACACACCCTAACCTCCAGCAGTTTGCCTCCGTGGCCGACGGCAAGAGGGATGACAATGTCATCGGGGAGAGCTGGGATCAAAGCGCATGACAAACACAGTGCCATGTGCATTTGGGGCCCAGAGGCTTCCCTTCAAACATGCATCATGCTTCTCCTTCTTTCCCCCCTTAAAATTGGACCATTTCTCGACTCATGTGGGGCATGCTTGTGCACGGGTCATGCTACTCTTCTCTCTATCGTTCCAATTTTAGCGGATGTCCCAAAGGAGAGGGCATGCTCCTTCTCTGCATCTCATAGCACCAGTTCGAACGCAGGGCAGTATATCGACAGTTCATGGGTGTACCAACTGAGCTAGGCCAGTTGATTCTTTTCCTTCTTTTCAAAATTTCGGATAATTTCTCGTTGTAAAGTGCGGCATCATGGAGCAGGGAGGGACCCTGCTGACCCTCTCCATACCATTCCAATTTAACTAACATCCGCAATGCCCTGGTCACTGCTTTCTCTTCTTTCATTCCTTTAGCTTTTTAACAGTTCCTGCTTTATTTCTTTCAGTCCCCCATTGACTGTCTCTTAGAGGGGAAACTCGGCAGGTTGGCGTACTTCAATACAAACCACCACATACAGAGGTTGAAGACAGGGAGGGACACGGTGCAAGGAGAGACACGCATGTCGAGGGACCGCATTGGAAGTTGGGCACCAGAGACATGAACTTGCACAGGAAGCGAAGGAAAACAGACTGCAGCAGAAAACTGGAACAATACACGGAAGATTAGCATGGACCCAGCGCAGAAAAATGAAAGAGGAAAAAAAAAAACAAAAAAAACAGACTGCCGTAGAAGTAACGCAAAGGGAGAGAACAAAACATACAAGTCAACGGAACTGACTGCTGTTCATGCTCGTTCCCTGACTTGCCTGCTCCACCCCACAAACCACACATTCCTGCTGATGGCTTTGCCCTGCTGCGCCCCACACACATCCCTGCTGTTAGCTTAGTCGCTTTCCTTTGCGATCCCTCTCGGATCTAAATCCATACACATTCCGTACCACCATAGGGGTCTTGAACTTTGGGCCTCGCTGCACTACTCTTGACATGCACAAAAGACAAACATCATGGCGGTGCATCTTTTCATATTCTAGCGGAAGATTCACTCTCGTTTTGCACATTTCGAGAGTAGTGCAACGACGACGCCCTTTATTTACAACAAGAAACAGCTCCCGCCGGAACGACCCACCCAATAGGGCCCTCGTTTCCGTTCACAGCCTGCGACGATGTCGGACTAACGATCAAGAAGAAAAAAGATTAAAGGGAGAAACTTTGGAATCGAGCGACAAGGCCGAGCGACTTACCGTTCTTGGAAAAACAGCTCAATGATGCCGTTCCGTCCATTCTCATGGTTGAAGAACACAAACAAACTCCAATGCATCAACCACGTCCGCTGCTGCAGCTGGAGAAGAGGTGAGGAGAAGCTCTGCAAGTGCATAAGAGGTAAACGCCATCGCACAGAGAAGAGAGAGATCTCAGAAAATCTGACAACGCAAAATGTCACTGCAAGATGGGTGGTAACGACACAAAAGGCCCGCCTTCATTTGAGAAGAGAGATTCATTCTGCACATTCAAACCGGGGATTCGAAGCCCCGTCTCACAACGCGTTTTCACTTGTTCTCCTCAGATGTAGCTTGCACCGTAGCTTGCAGGCTCGGAAGAACACACATTTTGGTTCGACAATTTAGCTTCGTTAGGAGTGGTGGTTTAAAAGACAGTGCTGGGAACTGACAAGCACAACACAAGTATCTGTGACATCAGTTGCTAGGGGCAACGCACAGTGCATGACACACAACAAATGGGTGAGTGGGATGAGTGGGTGAGTGGGTAAGTAGATGAGTGGGCAAGTGGGCAAGTAGGGGAGTGGGCGAGTGGGTGAGTGGGCAAGCAGGTGAGTGGGTGAGTAGGTGAGTGGGTGAGTGGGTGAGTGGGTGAGTGGGAGAGAGGGTGAGTGGGTGAGTGGGATGCAGTGGGATGCAGTGGGTTTCGTACCTTCGAGTCAATGACCTCCTTGAGCCGATTCATCTCCTCCATTGCTGCATCCCAGTTCAACATCAAGATTTCCGCCGCGAATTTACCCCACAATGCGCTGACACCCCGATCATTGTTAGTGCACAGGGCACGGTATTGATAGAGATAGTCCGCCGCTGCAGAGTAGTTACCGCAGTCAAACTGGAATTTTGCATACTGATATAACCCTTCGATTTGCTCAGGCCCAATCTGCACAGATGGGCAACATACAGCAACCAATGGGTCAGGAAAGAGCAGGGAACCAAGAGCAAGGAAAATGCGAGAAGCAAGACAGAATCGATACAGCATGAAAAGGGGGAAGAGAGAGGTTGGGAGGGGAAGAGAGGTCGGTAGGTTGGGAAGGGAAGAGAGGTCGGTAAGGGGGAAAGGGGGGGGTTGGGAAGGGCGAGAGGGGCTGGGAAATGGAAAGAGGGTCTGGGAAGGAGGTTGGAAGGGGACCTGAATGTGGACGTAATCGGCACATGGCTGTAAGAGGGGGTCTCAATGAAAGGTCAGGGTTGGAAAATTGCTAAGAGAGCTTGAGGAAAAAAGGCCAACGAAACAGAGGCTACCCCATCTTCGCCCGAATAAAATGCACGGTCACTAACTATCGCGGCATCTAGACTGAAAGTTGCCCCAAATACAGATACAACGACCGGGTATTCAAAGGAAGACAGTAGATGAGAGGGTGGAGGAAAGAAAGTGAGCATCGGTAGGTGATATTCAAAGGCAGAGGTTGATGGAAATATTTTTTTCAAAGTGAGCACGCTGATCAGAATTTTGATAGAGAGCAGCCCCCGCCCACCCACCAGAGTGCGAGTTGTGGTCTAGTTTGCTTTTCCTTCAGCTTCCCACGAACAGCCATCTATGCTCCCACTTGAACAGAAAGAAACTGAAAAAGAGAGAAAAACAAAGAACACAGCAGAAAGACTCTAGAATCTAGATACGACAAACCTGCAATTAACTTGATGAGAATTACATGAATAACAATAAATAAAACACACAAAGACACACTGCGCTTGCTGTGCGCTTCTTGTGCGCTTCTGTAATGTATATAAATTAAGACTAAAGTAGTAAACAAATAAAAATAGGTAATTATTGTTCCCCTTCTTGGTGATGGTCACCAAGGACGTACAAGTGAAGAAAAGAAAAGGAAACGAAAATCATCCGTACGCCGGGAAGGAAAGGAGAAGAAAATAAACGTACCATCTTTTCCTTCTCTGTGTACGGATTATTTTCTTTTCCTTTCCTTCTCGGCAACAAGAACATACGCATTATTTCCTTGTCCGTCTGAACAACCAAGTAATGGATTCGTGTTTCAAGCGATGAGAACAAACGAGGACGAAAGAAAGAAACACACGAATCCATCACTTGCTGTTCAGACGGACACGGAAATCATGCGTATGTCCTTGTCGCCGAGAAGGAAAGGAAACGAAAATAATCCATGCGCAGAGAAGGAAAAGATAGTACGGATTACTTTCTCCGTACGAGTATCAAGCGATGAGAACAAACGAGGACGGAACAAAAAAAACGAACCTGATATCTCTCCTGTAACATCTGCAGGTTGTACTGTTTCTCAGATCGAAGTTCCTGGACCATAGATGGGTTCTGCAAGAACGAGATCAACGGCGCAGCTGCTTCTTCCAAGGCCTTCAGATTGCCAATGACCTCCACACGCCTCTCCACCATCTCTGCACAAGTTAACCCGAACGACAATCATCATGACATGACCAATCCCATCAATCAAGCAACGACGACCATGAATATGCCAATCAAGCAACGGCATAGATTAAGTCGATTACCAATCAACCGCATAGATTAAGTCGATTGCCAATCAAGCAACGGCATAGATTAAGTCGATTAAAGATCACAGAAAAGAGGGGAAAAAAAGTCACACGTTGGACGTCTCTTCCATAAGCAAAGTGAGACACGTAGCCATGCATGGCACATGCACATCTGCATCCTGATCTGATTATGCGGTATATTGACGAAGGTCCTGCAACTATCTAATCTTTTATCAATCAATGTGCATACCAATGTTTGATTCATATCCAACCCGATTCTGATTCAGATTCTGATTCAGATCCAGATTCAGATTCCGACCTGTGGGTAGTGTACATGAAGATTAACGTGCATTATTTAAAAAAAAAAAAAAAAAAAAAAAAAATTAAAAAATCAGGACGGTTCACGCCCTGCTGCTATATGCAGGACGGCACCTGCAAAATGAAAAGAGAGAAAGAGAAATACGAAGAAAAAAAAAAAAAAAGACGGTAAGAGAGACAAAATTTAGTACTAAGTACTCCCATCATTTTCATCATTTCTCGGCCTCCGCTCTCACTTTTTCCCCCCTAACCGCTTCCCCCTCCTCCTCCCCCTCCTTTCCCCCCCCCGGGGTCTTCCGCGCTCCCTGGCCTCTCGTGTGTACATCGCCCATAATACAAGAACATCATCAACGGATAACAAACTACAACACTTCATCCTCCGTGGGACGAATAAGACAAAATAAAAGTATCAATGGGCGTCGTACACGGTTTTTTTTTTCGCCTTTCGCTATAAAAAAAAAAAGCTCTGCTGCGGAAAATACGTGTCGTCTATGACGAGCTATTTCGTGAGTAACTATCAAAACAAAAGAGGAGATCATCGCGCAGATGAAACCTAACACCATTGCCAGGGGTAGTCAGAAGAACGCAAAAGAGAGGAGATACGTAAGACTTCGAAAATCAAAGCACACGTGAACAATTTGCAAGGCCGTGAGAATACAAAGCGAGTTCCAGAAAAAAACGCGAAACGGAAAAAAAAAAAAAAAAAAATCGCGAAACGGAAAAAAAAAAAAAAAGCGCGAAAAAAAAAAAAAAAAAAAAAACGCGAGACGGAAGAAGGGAAAAAAAAGCGCGAAACGAGAAAAAAAAGAAGGGGCGAAACGAAAAACAAATCATTAAAAAAACAGGGGTAACTTCGGCGCAGTCACGAAAATAGTTTGAAATAATTGCACTTCATGCAATCCCGCGAACACAATACACCCCCACGGGGCCCCCCCTGTCCCGAAACCTAGGTTATATACATTCACCATTTACGGCCCTTTCGCCTCAACAAGTTCATTTTTCAAACTCAAAAACCCTGACTGCGTCGTAGTTTTCTATTTAAAAAAAAAAGCGCGAAACGGAATACATGCTGAATGTTTACATTGCAGGAGGGGGACAGGTTTCCCGCCACGTCAATGTGTGATTTCTGAGCGGGAAATGCCCTCCCAAACGGAAGTTTAGCGGGGAAAAGAAAAGAGGGGCGGGGGGGGKGGAGCGGGGGGGGAAGCTTGAGGTAATAATAACAGGCCTGTGATGCCCTTATTAGATGTTACCGGCTGCGGACGCGCGCTACACTGACGAATTCCAACGAGTGGAAAAAAAAGACAACTGCAACAAATCATAATAAATTAAAATTCGATTTATTTATTTGTTATTTATATTGAAAAGCAGTCAGAGAAAGTTAAGGTCGTCTTCTCGGTCCCCACGCCCTCGCTCGCGAAACCCCCACCCGCCGCCCCCTACCCATTCCCCCCCCCCCCCCCCCCCCCCCCCCCCCCCCCCCCCCCCCCCCCCCCCCCCCCCCGCCTCCCCCCCGCCGCCCCCCCGCGAGCGTCGCATAACACGCGCAACGTAAGACTATAGACAGCAGTTGAGAAGACACACCAGGGGCGACGTCCCACCACAAAGAATTGGATTAAGCGCCTGAATCTGGCTGTGTTTTAAGCAGAGATGCAGAAAAGCAGATCAATCGCGACTTTCTGCACCTCTCGTCAAACACGTAATGATTCACGCGCTAAATCCAATCCTATTCGTTAGTGGCACTGCGCCCACGACCCCAGTCCATTCATAACGCCAGGTTCTTTGGGGGGGGGGGGGGGTAGGAGGGGGGGGGGATTGGGGGGGGGGGAAACGCCAGGCAGTGTCATTTGGGAGAGAAGAACGAACTGGCTTCTACTCCAACTTCCCAGCGAAGCCTTCCGCTGAAGACGGGCAGCAGTACCGTGGTCGATGTGCGCTTTATCGCGCCCAAAAGTGCAGGTCGTACGGCACAATACCTGGTACACTGAAGCGCCCCTTTCTCTGTACCAGGAACGTTACTTGTACCGGGTACGTTCCTAGTGCACCGATGTGCCCTTTGGCTGTGTACTCTGGTCTGCTCGAAAATATTACCCCTTGGGGCATTTTTGGGCATTTTGGGCATATTAGGGCATTTAACTAAGTGTTGAAAATGCGCTTGTACATGAAAAATGTGCTTCTATTTGGTCACCAACAACGATAATGAGAAAAGCTATAATTCACGCTTTTCCCAAAAAAAAAAAAAAAAAAAAAACGCTACGATTTGATTCAGATAATTTATGAAGATCATATTTTTTATTCCTAGCAAATCCTTGTTCTTCCGACACATTCGTTCCTGGTCACAATTTCAGCGTTTTCTGAACCAAAATCGTGTCACGTCCTCCTGGCGGTAAAAACCGGTAAGCCCTTCCGATTTCGGTTTCAAAAAATGCCAAAATTGAGACCAGGAAGGTCAAAATTAAATGCCCAAAGACGTAATTACGTAGGCATTAATTACTAGAGCATTATATTCATATACAAAACAGCTCTCCAAACTGACTGTTTGGTTTGGCAGTCGTCATCGGAAGAGGTCTATTACCGACGCGCAATTTTTCATTATTTTTTTTCAGAATTTTTTTCAGAATTTTTTGAGAATTGTTTTTCAGAATTTTCTTTCAGAATTTTCTTCCGAATTTTTTTTCAGCGTTCTTTTCAGATTTCTTTTTCAGAACTGTTTTTCAGAAAAAAAAATCAGAATTTTTTTTCAGAATTTCTACTTTTATTCGAGTTCAAGAGTACGATGATGATTTTATGATTTTTAATGATTGATGATTTATTCACGTCGACATGAGTCACGATCTAGACAAAAAGGGTTGCACTCGCTGACCAACAAACGATTTCAAGGCTAGGCTACCAGCCGGGCCGCCCGGGTCCCGGGTGGCCAGCCCGTGCAAGGACCAGGGAAGGTCCCAGCAAAAAAAAAAAAAAAAAAATCCAAAAAATCCTCAAAAAAAATATGTTATGCAGAAAAATAAACTGAACAACTTTTGCCTCAGGGTCACATCGAAATTCTTCACCAAATTCAAAATAAAAAATAAAATTTAAAAGTAAATGTTTTTATTTTTATTATTTTTAATGTTTTTGGCCCGGCCGGGCAAGTGACCCCGGGCCACTCTGGTAGCCTAGTTTCAAGGTCAAAAAAAAAAAAAAAAGTGAGGCAAGCACCTTGCTTCACGACGTCGAAGAGGAGTTTGATCTTTCTTTTTTTTTCTTTTTTGGACCAAAATAACCAAAAAAAAAGATAAAAAAAGAACAGATACTACACTTCATCTTCGCCAAAAAACAAACGGACGAGAAAGGTATTGAAGAGTTTATCTTTCAATCTACGCAGCGGCAAAATTTCATCTTTTTTTTTTTAACAGACAAATTTCTCCTTTTCTTCTTATCAACAGGACATTTCAGGTCGGTCCTGGTACACGCGTCAGCACAGCATTGGTACAACTACGGTACCACATCTAGTACACAGTCCGTACCACATCTGTACGGTAAATTTTCGTACCACGTCCGTCTGGGACACTTTCCGTACCACGTCTGTCTGGTACACTTTCCGTACAACGTGTCTGGTACAACTTCGCAGGAGCAATTTGGGGGCATCCTTCTTTTTCCGGAGGCATCCTATTAGGCCAGCCAAATTGCTCCTGCAAAGGTACCTCCAAATAGGATGCCCCCAAAAAGGATGCCTCCAAAAAGGGGGCATCCTTTGAACCAGGTTTCCCTAGTAGGGTAGGCACGCAAATAACCCAAAGGACGGACAAACGGCCAAGACGGGAAGGCGAGAGAGGGAGGA